TGGATGGTGGGGGGTTTGGCGAGCGAGAACCTTTGCAGCTTGCGGTTAGCGGGAGAAAGAGGTGGGTATAGCGCAAGGCCACCAGCTGGGAGGGAGGGAGGTGTGCGCTTTGTTATCGCGACCACCTCTGTCACCTCCTGTAGCTTAGGTACCTTGCCCTGTTGGGGAGCGCTGGACTCGCTGAGCGACAGTGGAGAGGCAGCGATGGCTTGCTTCGGGCCATGACTAAAAACCGGACTTGGTGGGGCACAGCATGGACGGTCGGTCGATGGATGGTGGTGCGATCGGAGCAGGCGAGACGACGCGAGCACCCCAATGGCTACATCTCACATTACATTGCAGAGGTCGCAGAGATAGGCAGGATAAGCCAGCCGAGCACGCAAGCCAGCATGAAAGGGGCATTTGTCAGTAGGTAGATAACGCTGTGTTCCAATGCCTTCCATCTGTCCATCCATCTCCGCCGCCGCCCTCTCCGCTCTGGCTGGCTGCTGCTCCCGGCTGCCCATTTGGAGCCTCCCGCGCCTGCGCCCTTATCACCCGCCGATGCTGCCTTTTTCTGCTTATTACTTGCGTGCCGGTGCCGTCCAAAACCAGCCTGGCTCGGACTGGCCAGGCCAGACTGCCAGGACAAGGTTAGGCCGGTAGCCGTAGTGTGGGTAAAAGTTGCATCCATGCTCGAGCTTAGCCCAAGCAGCACCAGCAAGCTATTTTAGCTGGCGCGCTGCATTCAATCAACAGACCACCCCCTTTCGTGGGCTCCGCGGAGAGACAAGACCTCTAAAAGTGCGTGTTGTCTTTCTCCATGCAGACGCTAATGTGCATCTCTGCGGCGATAGGGAGGGGAAGGAGGGGGGCTTGCTGCTGTGGATGTGTATATATGTATGTCTACGTAGGTTTATGCGTGTGTGTATGTATGTAATGTATGTACGTATGTTATGAGCCCATGCCATGTACCATGTTTGCCAGAATGCGACCTGCTTGGCCGTCCATGGTGTAGTGTTGCGTGCGTCAAGTCCAGCCCTTGCTCGACCAATCCAACGGCCCTGCAGCGTCGAGGGTGGCCGCACGGACGAGGATGTTCTGTCGGTCGCTGTCTTTGACAGATTGACGAGTGGTGGATGCCCCCAAAAGCAGTGTGTGTGTGTCTGGGATGTCTGGGCTACCAGGGATGGTCTTGGATGGGATGGATGTTGGATGCCACGGTGGGGCTCAGCCAGGCGAGTGAGCGGGAGGGGCAGGATAGCTTCAAGCATGCACCCAAGTATAGCTCTGGCCTGTCTTGGGACGGGCGAGCAAAGACGCTGACAGCCACGAGCAGGGGGTTTTGATAACATGATGAAGATATCATGGCCGATGTCGACGGAGGCCAATTGACAACGGCAGAGGACCGTTGCCAAGGACGCAGCTCAGATGTGACGGGAGCTCCTCCATCCCAATTGCAACCCATGTCCACGATTGATTCTCGTATATGTTTACCTTCTGTATGCTGCTGATGGAACGGTCGACAGGCACCTACACCTGCCTGCACGAGCTATCACGCCCCGCGAAGGGAAAGGATGAGCGCCAGAAAGCGAAACGCGAGTTCCCAAGATGCCTATCTACCAGTCCCAAGTTCTCTTATGTGTTTTCTTATCAGGCTCGAGCCAGGCGAAAGGACGTCAAAAGCCGCAGCTACCAGTCGCCGACTGCCGGCACCGCTGCATGCCTGTGTGGAGGGTTGTGGATGGATGGTTGGCTGGCTGGCTCTATCATCAGTCGCTCACCTATTCAAATCCAACCATTCATTCCTGCTGCTGGATAGGCCGGAACCATCCATCCCTCCCTCACCGAGCGAGCCGCCGCCGCCACTGTCACTCCCCTTGACCAAGCTCGACTTAAGTTTCCGGATTGTCTCGCCTCTGCAGCAGCTAGCGGGAAAATCTTTCGCCCAACAGCAGCTACAGCAGCTGTCACTTCTGGCCTCCCGTATTAGTTGGCCTTTGTTGCTCCCATTGTTCGCCCCCTGCTACCACAGGCAGATGGAGAGATGCGCCCATCTCGAATTGTTGGGGCCAATGAGTGAATGGGGCAACAGGATGGCGCACAGCAACCAGGATGTCAACGGTGCCCACACATCCAAGCGCACATCAGACCACCACACCCCCTAGGTATATGCAACACAACACCAGAAACTTTCATCATTGTAGCGCAGTCGGAGGGGCGATGGCGACCAAGAGCCGCGGGAGTCTGTCTGCCCAGCGAATGCGTTGGAACGTAAGCCGCATAGCAGGGTCCTTATTGTTTCACCGGAATGAAGCTGTCTGTTTCTGTAGGGACCAGCACCGGTCCATTTGTGGACGAAGCTCACAGCTCCCTCCCCCGCCATTCCTGACGCCTCCCTTACCTGGTGTTTAGGAAGTAGGAGAATAAGCTTGGCCCTTTTGCGTAGATCGACGATGCTATGAGAGCATCCAAGCTTGCAAGCACCAAAGCCCCCTCCCGCCTTACATAGTGTGGACATATGTACATACGTACTCGCATACAAACGCTCTTACTTACATACGGACTTTGTGCTTCTCCAGTTCTCTCCCTTGAATCAACAAATAGCCCATGCTGCTGTTTCAAGCCCGCCTGGGGTTGAGTCTATCTAGGTGGGTTCGGCATGCTACCTTGGCCGCTGAACCACTCACCGTGGTCCGGAGGTGCCTCCCATGCCGGACACGATGCCCATCATTGCGAGTCCAGGACGAGCAAAGGGGGAAAGAAAACTCTGTGGGGCTTGGCATGCACAGACGGTAGCCTCGACATGCAGCTAGCGAGCTGCACGAGCAAGGGTTGAAGCCAAGATAAGCTGGGCTCACCGACAGGCATCCTATGCAGGCGCCTGCGCGGGCATTAGTACCTACATTGCCATTGCCGTTTCTATCCAAGAGGCGTCGGCCATCCAAGTTTTGGCTGCATGCCCTAAGCCAGAGCCAGCGTCGCGGGTTTGGGATTTGCGCGGCCCTCCACAGAGATGTGCACTGCTGAGTCCGTGATCGTCCACCCTAAATGATACAGCGCTGAGCCTCCCACAAAACACTGAACACGATATGCAACAATTGACTGATATGATGTTTGTTTCCCGTTGTTATGACCGACTGTGATGAGACGGACGAACTGCCTGGAGCCACGATGATAGTGCATCTCGATCGCATGCTTCGTGACGTCATTACAGCCACCGATTCCATGATACGATGCGCCTACTGACCGTCGAGAAATGAGCCTCTGAGACGAAGGCGTGTAGTTTAATGAGCAATTGGTATAACAATGGTCAGTGTGTAACCTTCGTGAGCAGGACCCGCAGGCACACAAAGAGCTATTCCCAAAGTCTCGGAACGGCCAGGACCAAGACAGACTGAATCCTCCCATCACCGAGAAGCCTCAGCATGATTCATCACCGATCCTCAGCCCCCCGGCCAGGTCTTGCAAGGTCTTCACCACTTTACGGAACGCCGGTCTTGGACTAGCCGAGATGGCGACAGGGTGCGCGGGCTCGAACTCCAGCGGCCGATGTATAAAATATGATGTGCGTGCAGTGACAGTGCGGCCCATCTGTTAGTGGGTACCTGGCCGTATTGCGAGATAAGAATGCGGACCCTGCCGCCGGCTTCATTGGCTGCCAGGCCCTGTAGCACCCAGCTCCCAGCGCCTACAGGGGGTACGAACACCCCCCCCGGCCTCTAGCTCTAGGGCAGGCCGCCGGGGACCCATCAGGAGCTTAGCTGGGCACTAGGCAAGCCTCCAGACAAAACCGTTGGCTCAACTGCAAATTTTTTACTTATAGCCCTGCTCTGCTTACTGTATGAATGGATTGAATTGCGGTTTAGTCATCTTAGATCTGCTCATCAAGCCCGCTGTGTCAGTTCTCAGTCACCTCATGCGGGGGTCAGTCGGACTCGAGGCTGTGAAGAAAAACTCGACCTCGAGGACCCTGTCCCACGGCAGAGCTCGGTAGACGATCCTTCAGCCCGATTCCTGCATATCCCGAAGATTTGCTGCACGTTGGCGAAAAGTGCAACACTACCTCCAATATAATCCATAAATACCATCTCAGATTCGGTGATCCAGCAGGCAGCTTGGCATCATACGAGGCGGCGCACCCAACCAGAGCCAGTGGCAAGGAGGCGCCCCAACAGCCCACTCCATGGGCACCGTCTTTGGGAAGATCCCCGCCCATCGACTAGTTCTCGATTGCAACGCACCGGCCCAGGGTCGCCCTGGCTGGCTTCAGGAGTGTCACAGCTTGATGCTTTGGGAGGGATTTCGATCGTTGATGATTTTTTCTCTGTCTCATTCTTCACGTGCGACGCCAGGCTGCTTCTGATTGCATCTCCGGGACTGGACCATTCCAGGGTCCCCATTGTTGCCGCCCTCGCTAGCATTTCTAATTTATTTTTACTTTGGCTTCGCACACAAATTACGAAACTTGAATTCCTGCGGGTAGGCGATAAAAACCAGATCCAGCTTATCGTCGACAATTAGTGACGGAGGCCAAAAAGTCAATGGCTGTTGCTAGCTGCGATTTCGCAATTGAGATAACACCACTGGATTAGATAATTGTAGATAAGAAATTGTGGCTGAACTTTTTTATCGAGCTCGGCGAACCACTTAGAGCACTTGATGGTGGCCACTAAAACCTTCGTTCTTGCATCGCCAGTTGAATTTTCGTGAGTCAAAGAAATGATTGACAATCGCCATCCGTCAACAACCACGCCTCCTCCTTCTGCTTTCGCAACTGCCTGCCCATCCTATATCTGCTATCTGCTATCTGCTATCTGCCCGCCCTCCATCCTCCTCGGGGAACACGCAGCCGGTCGCCGCCCACTTAATTCTGCGGTCGATCGCAAAACACCGCAGTTCACTCGCCTCGATGCGACCTAAGCCCGTTTCTCTCGTCCTCCTATGCTCTCCAGGGAAGGTGAGGGGCGAGCTGGACATCCTCCATCTTCAATCGGAGGTGCTGACTAGCGCCAACCGTGATGGCACAATGCCAGCCGCTGGCCTTAGCGCTGAAGGTTAACCTCATGGCGTCCATCCGGCTCCTGAGTTGCATTGCTGGTCAGGGCGTTAGACCCAGGAGGTTGCTCCTCCTTCAGTTAGAGAGCCTTCACCCACTCCACTAGGGCATATAGGGTCCCCTCCTCTTTGGAGCTCCCGCACTCGCAAGATTTGTGCGCCGTGTCGATCGAGCCGGGGAAACCAACGACGAGGCCGGTGGGCAGAAGAGCTCTGGTCCCTCTGGCTCGGCCTCCCACGGCGGTACATGCATCCCTTCTACTTGTCTCATCACAAGTACCGTCGCAGCCAGCAAGCGAGTACGGGCAGACGAGTTCGGCAATGTGGAAACCTAAAAACGCAAGACATCCAGAAGCTTCTTCTGGCTAACCGCGGTTGAAGGGAAGGTTTCGTTGTGACAGATCATGTTGCGAAAATTATTGAAGATGGACCGGCTCCCAAAAACGGCATCCAGCTACGTGCCGATCCAGGGTCACGGCGGATGGGTGGACGGCTCTAGGGTTGCTTTGCCTCGCGTCGTTGCAACGTGCTGGTAAGCGAAATGGCATAAACTCGCCGCATCCACGCAACCAATACCACCCGCCTAGACCCTACCTGCCTCTGCGGCACACCCTTTTGCTGCTCTCCCGGGTTGACTATAGCCTCAGCTTGCCGAGTCTTCCCAACACCCTCCTCCCTCCTGTGCGCCCTGCATATCGGAGAGTCTTGATGGATGCAGCCATTGCACCAGGTGGGTGGAGATCACTGACAGACTCGTGCAGATTGGCAGCCATCTCGATACCAGCCCACTGCGACTGGATGCCCATGACAGGCCAGCGCTGCATAGAAGATCCGTTTGGCTGCAGCCTGCAGCAGCACCTATTTCTTTTTCCATACCTCCATCTCAGCCTGCGTACATCGAACCATTGGTCCCCAATCCAAACCTTCTGTCTCCGCCCTTTACAATCCAGTTGCCAGCCAAACGTCACAGCCAGCTCAACTCAAACTTTCGCCTCCCCGGGGAAGAAAAAAGGGGAATGCCTCAACTAGAAGGTCGGTCTAGCTTATGATACCCACACCAGTTGTTGATATCGCCTCCTCGCTCGGTTATGATGCAACTGGAATTGCACTTACGTATCTATCCTCCTACGCCTCCTCAACATACCTGCCTTCGCTTCTCATTTGGATGGGGCGTATGGATGCACCAGCTTCATTACACGGCCTGCAGCCAAGTCTTACCATCCCAGTCAATTAGGTCAATATTAAGCGAATGGTGACGGATTATTTCATTATGATGTCTCGCAGCACCGCGCACATGAACCGTCGACCATCTCGGCAGACCAGACACGCTCAACTGCATGGATGGCCGGTCACACGTTTAGGCCACAGCGTGACTTTCCCTCGAGGATCTTCGCACAAGGTTAGGCACTCAATACCCGAGATGTTTTGAGTTTTGCCATCGGCTCATGCTCCGCCTACTCGGCAAATGCTCAACTCCACAAAGACTGAACCGTTGAGAGACTATCGGCTACCTCTGGAGGCCATGGCCACCATCGTATTTGAGTTCAATCCAGCGCGCCCGTCTAGCTGCTGCTCGCCGGTATGACATCCGCAACGATGCAGTCAACCACATCTCCTGATCCTTCAAGACATCACCGAGCTTGCTCCGTTCCAAATGGGGCCAGGGTTGCTCACCGGGCGGCAAAAGGCGTCGTTGATGCTCCCCTACCTGGATGGTTTGTGTCACCTCAGCCATGCCACCTGGACACCATTATGATGTGGTCTTCCCCGCAATCTAAAGGGCCTGGGCAGCGTAAGCAGCGCCAGCGACCGAGCCGAGACTTAGCGATGCCCTCCATCTGAAGAGCGAAGGAGGGCTAGATGCCGCAGGCGCCAGTTGACTGAGCTCCCATGGAGTGAATCCTCCATATCGTAGCGTGGCCGCTCATGTATGAGGCCGCAAAAAGCTAGATGGAGATCATATGTAGGTGTCTCTGTAGTTCACGTCAGATCCCATCTTGGCGGAGCTCGGATTACTACGTTGAGCGGCCAACATCAACACAATCAGCCTGCCGATACGTTGAACCATACGTATGTATGCGTTTGGGAATCATACGAGCCCAACAGGCGCATACCATGTTCCATGCTAACCGCGTAGATATTCTATAGCGCGTATGCTCTAGAATGGAAAACGGAAAGCCGTGCATAGAGCTAGAGGCAGGAGCTGAGATGTGACCATATGAGGATCTAGATATGCACGCAAAATATCGGTGAAGCTCAAGACAATGATAGTCTGCCCATGAAAGGATGTGAGGGGGGAGTTTCACCCGGACTTAGGCACTCTAGCGTTTGCCATTCTGTCCTGGGTGGCTCGGAGCACCTGCGGCCCCGAGGCTTATTTTCATATGCCAAACACTTATGCCCATCCCTTCCCCAGACGTGCTGGGGATCAGGCTGCACGTTGGATTGCTTTCTGCTTGGCATCAACTTAAGTCGCCCCTCTTATCAATACTTGAGGTGTTAAGTGTGCCTCTCGCCTATGCCCCGAGGGTCCAATCCCCAGTCATGGAGGGGACCTGTATCACACACGGCGTGAATGGGCACCACACACACATCCTGCACGTAGAACCCTAGATTTAACGAGCCCTTCAACAGTAAACAGGTATTCCTCGTTTATTAATCCCCGAGCGCCTTGCGAGCTGAATGGAGGGGCTTTGTCGATGCTGCATGAGCAACCCATCAAGCTGTACACGGAGCAAGCACCACAGACATAGAGTCAATGCAACCCCGCCTCCACACACAGTCCAACGCTTGCAATGTAGTTGGCATCCTTGCCGCCTGCTTTGAACGCACCAGCAAATGGCTAGCCACCTCTGGTCCTTCACCGGTCTCGTGTTTCACGCTGGACAGTGATAGTGCATCCCCCCTTTACCCAGATAAGCCAAGGCCTGACCTACCCCGACCGCGGAGGCTACGGATGGATGGCCCAACCCCATCAAACGTTCCCTCCATCTCCATGTCACTCTAACCCCTCCCGTGAGAGCTTGCGTGCGCCTCCAAAACACGGTCCCAAGCCCCCCTCCGCCAAATGGTGCACCGCAATGACTCTCTAGAAGCTTGCATACACCAGTCCCTCCGACATGTTTAGCAGACCTACGCGCCGGGCCTCCAAGTCATGTGCTTTCATACGCCGCAGGGAGCGATAATGCAGCAGTGACATGGCCAAGAAACAGCGGTACAGGCATCTTTGAGCCAACCCCCAACTTTGCCCATTTTCCCCTCACCAGCTTAGATGCGCGCCGGGTTTGGGTCTTGACAGCTTCCCCAGCTTAGCTTATCAGGGAGAGGCAATTGAGCTTGAGCTCTGCCCGGCTAAGTCTGCCAGATTGGCCGATCGCCCCTCTTACTCGCTATGAGACTCTGCTTAGCCTCCACGGAAATGCTAGTTTCGCTTCACTTTGTCATGGCAATTGCTTATCATCAGCATACCAGCCACGAAAGATAAAACCACTGTCAGAGTCAAGATAGAGCGCCATCCCTCCACCTCGCTCGCTAATATGCAGTGGCGCAAACCCCGCCACCGTTCCACCGGGGTCGAGCTTCTATCCTCAATCAAGTCATACCAGCCGCGTCGGACCCAAACTCAATGCCCGTAGCTCACTCCTCCTCCTTGTTGTCTCCCGTCCTTCTCTCCAGCAACGTACGATTCCCCAACGCCGAGTCTCAGCGGCGCGTGCCCACGAGACGCCGTCTCCGGCTGTCACTGGCTGGCGCTGATTGCGTGCGTGCGGCCAGTGGTCTGAGGCGGGCGTCCGCCGAGCGAACTAAGGCCAGTGCGGTGCGGGGGATGGGGAGCGGAATGCCTGTGCGCCCGCCCCCAGCGCACTTTTCTCTCATGACCATGTCGCTGCTGGGCGAAGCTGAGAGGGAGGAGAGGAGAGGAGAGAGCCGCGTTGTCATGTCGACTATTACATGCGCAATGGCATCGGCGTCTGGTGATTCTGAGCCTCTTTTCGACCCAGAGCCCCTCTCAATTTTGCTATATTGTCTTAGCCTAGTGGATGAGCTGCTGGCGTCGTCCTCATCCAGCGCCTGGTCGTGATTTAAGCCAGAGGCCCGGCCGTCACTCCCCCCGAGCCCGCCAGAGACGGGGCCTGGAGAGGGGCATTGAGCCGCTAAAGCACTCCACTGCATCAGCCCGCTGGCTCACTAATTACAGGGCAGGGGGGCGCTGCAGCTATCGATGGCGCCAGGTGACACCTGCACGCAAGATCGTGATGCCTCAGCAACGATCTCGCACATAACCACGTAGGCATTGATCTAGAGATGAGACAAATAACGCGCCCACGATACGTTTACCTAATCTCAAGATCCGTCCAATGTCATGCCAGGGAGAGCCACATTTGCCCGGCACGGCCTGGTAGGCGCCTGGTCTGAACACCGCCTGCCTCAGCGCTAGAGCCTGCAGGTGATGGCGTCCCTCTTCTTCATCTCATCCACCGCCAGACTGATGCAATCAATCCTCACTCACCCGCTCGCTGCACAGGAGGATCAAGCAAGCAAGCAATTAATCACCCCCATGCCATGCGAGCGTCGCGTCAGGTCAACCCACTTCCAGGCATATGCCCTCATCATGACGCACTTTGGATTCCCGCTGACGGCAGGCAGGGGGATCAATCACACGGCGGAGCTTTCTCTCCTCCTCGACGCAGGGCTGTTTGAGCGCAATGGCAGGCTTCATCTGTATGTGGCCGCGCGGATGCAAGATGCAGTGCGACGACGCAGACATGCACATGGACGTTTGTGCGATGCCCATTCCATGATTTCCCAGTTTCGGTGACGTCCAAGATGCGCTTTGGCTCACTTTGCCATCCGCCCGAAACACCATTTCCATCTTGAGAGCGATGCACATCTGTCCCCCTTCTCCGTTCCTGATCCTCAAGCCATCGCGAATCTCCCGTCCACTCCCCCCCCCCTGATCAACGACATCGACCGATCTCCATGCCCATCCGTAGATTTGCTTCAATCTCCCTAGCTTCGAGGAAGACTTAAAATCCCCATCATCCTGCCCATGGGCGTCGCCGCCCGGAAGGACTCCACCGCCCTTGTCCCAATCCACTGAAGATCTCTCCCCGGCCGTCCCTCCCCATCGGAGCCTTCGGTACACGATCGTTTAAAAAAAACCAACATCTCCACCGTGCTTCCCTTGCCTTGCCTGCCTATCTATTCCCACTCATGGCCATTTGCCTGTTCCACCTGTGGAACCTCTTCTTGGCAACGCTGGGGGGGGCGTGCCGTGCCTTGGTTCCATGCGTTAGATCCAAGTTTTTTTTCATTCTTGCCTGGTCATTTCCAGCCTGCGAGATTACTGTGATTTGACCATCCTCTGTCTCGGTATACCCCCTTCCAACTCCCCAGGGGCTTCAGCCCTCTCAAAGCACAGCACCGGTCCGGAAGGATGCAGGATGGGGCTCTCACCGACAACGCCTGTTGTTTCTCGCAGACCAGCCCACACCCGAATGTGCGACGCAGACGGAGCAATTCCCCCTCTTTTCTGTCTCACGGTGTACTTTTGGGTCCCGTCGAGTCCGAGTTGGTAGGCCGGCCACGACGATCGGTGCAGGGGGGCGGTGCGTGGGCGTTGCAGTGCAGTACTTGGGGCGAGGGGCAAAACGGGCTGACAGTGGGATGGGCGGCTGGCTCATCATGGGGCTTTTCCAGAATCGCATGCCACGCCAGCTTGGGTCTGGTTTTTTGTCACATGGAGATTTCTGGATTTCGTGGTGATCGGCATGTTTCTGGATTGGGTAATTTCAGATGGTGATGATAGCGTGATGGGTGGTTGTGTGCTTTTCGTGCATGCCTTGGCTGGGTTGGGTGATGTGATGACTTGTGCTGAGCTGTGTAGATGCGTGGTAGTATGAGTGATTTACAGGGTAAGGTATGTGTATGTCTTGCCAGTTTGTTACCTCAGTCCATGTGGGAAGATGGCGAGTTGATTGTGCGTTGCTTGCTAGTTTTGCGATCTGGTTGACCCTTTTATGAGTACTTAGGTTTCTCACTGGATGTAGTATAAGTTTACTCGAGGCGTCTATGCTGATATTCAAAACGTAAAGCTTTTCTATCTCTCATGATTGTTTCTCTGTATAGTTTCCCAAAATTGATATCGCCGAAGAGTCGGAAGAAGTCGGCTGCGCTCAGGTCTTATCTTGGGATGCCTTTGCCAAGGTAGAGCTGACGTGCTGCGTACTCTGTAAATCAGGTGATTGATAAAATGATATCTCAAGTTTAATGAAACTTGATTTTCCACCGTGAAGCTGAAAAATCTAAGATAACAGAACATTGTCACACTAGAGTGGTGGTGTTTCAACTCTGAAGACAATGGGTGAGAGGAAAGTATTTGACTACACACATCAGGCCCGGACCCTATTCATTGAAATTTGATAGATAGATATGTTTCAATGCCACTAAAAGGCTATCAGATCCAAAACGTTCAACTTAGAACCAAACTCGAACAGTTTCGGAGTCTCGCATATCAAACCACCTACCCTAATGCTCACGATCCAGAACACCGAAGCACGGATTGCACAACTAAACATGATCTCTAACGAGTCTTGCTTCTGGTCTATCACTGTAGCCGGAAGCCTCGAGCCTGCTATTCCCAAGATCAAGCTTTTGTTTCTTTACCTTTGTCTTAGAAAGCTCTGTTTGCTGCAGCTAGTGTAGCTTCAGGACTCGTCCCCTTCCTAAGCGACTAATTTATCTCCAATTGACATGACCTCTTATTCATTATTCTACAGCCGCAGGTACGAAGCGTCATCAAGAGTTAGTACTTGCTTTCCATTATAGCCGGGGTCGTCGAATTAAGCACGTTCGAAGGTGCCATGAATGATCTATCAAGTATCATAACCATAGGCACCGCAAAGCTGTATCCTAGATATCTCGCTTCCCAAAACCGAGCAACGATATATGGAGACTATATCTTAGAAAACTGCTGGATTGTAAAGATATAATCCTATCGCTGGAGAACAATGGTTGTTGTGCTAAGAATAAAAGTATGGTCATGGAAGAGTGCTCAGCCGCAACTTCACGGTAAAGCCAGGCGAGCAAACCAGAAAACGTTTCTCCCACAGCCAAACATTGTGCTTTTCCTAAAAAGTAACTGCTATGCCAAAAATACAAGTCAAAAAGTGATAATGTGCCCGAGCTGAGACTCGAACTCAGGTTTCCACGGTTCTGAAATTGATCCACAACGTGGTGCCCTAACCACCTAGACTACTCGAGCGTATCATGGAGTGCATATGCAGCGCAGACTCCATGATGAACCAGCGGTGGACTCATCACGGTTGTCGAAATCGATCAAAATGTGAATGTGAGGGTAAATTGGGCTGTTGCGCTGTAGTTCACAGTCTCCTGGTTCTCACTCTGCCATGGGAGATCCACGATGGGATAGTTGAAGCTCTTCACTTCTTGGAAATGTTGTTTCATCGTCAGTGCAGTATGTTTTCAGCTAGTTTGTACAGAAAACTCGACTTGACTACATGCGAGTCATTTCTAAATGCCATGAGGCTATAATCTCAAATACTGAAAGAAAAACAATCGAGTGCTGGGAAGTAACTTTTGTGCCAGGCATGGAACCCCGGTTGAATTACGTACAAGGTATTCTCAAAGGCTTCGAAGAGACCTTGTTTGGACTTCTGAGCCTAGCGTATGCTTTGCCCCAAGCCTCTCACAGATAATACCTTTCAACCCTTCGTGTATTCCCTCAATGAGAACTTTAGCCAGCGATTGAAAACTGTCGCTTAGTCAAGATTAGTGGAAAAAGACGTCTGTTCCAGAAATAGTGGAATTCCCCCAGAAGTCCCAGCAATCCTGAGCCAGAGATCGTGGGTTGATATGGGCGGGGAAATGTCCGCCAAGTATTTCCGGCGCTTTCTTGCTGAAGAAGGTAATGTTCCCTTGGCGTTTTGCCCAATCCAGAGGCTGTTGAGAGCAGTGTTAGTCAGTCAAGTTATACTAGCCGGCATATACGCCGAGTGGCGTTAGAAGTCACAAACCGTGTAATATGCTGCGTCGCCATAGTAGTTGAGTACGCCAACTGGCTGAGCTACGTAGGGAAATGCCCCGGCCAGCGTTCCCTCCTACATGAATCATACCAAGTCAGTAACTCCCCTGTTATACTAGTGTTTGAAAGTTGAGCCTACCCTCTTTGCTTCTTTGTACAGTCGCAAGCCACCGTATGGGCCTTGGATGTAGTTGAGCATCGACCAAGTAATGAGCTCCTCGATTCCCCAGTCGTACCCCGGCGAAAGGGACCTCATTCCCATGTACTGCCAAGCAGTCCACGCAATCGGGCTATCCGTCATGCCGATAGCGACTTGCAGTGGCACGCTGGACTCAATGGCCCAGTAATCTTGGGTCCAAGTCAGACCTGGGTCATTCATGAATTGGAACATGATCGTCTCCTCCGGCGTGGTCTGGTTATTTTGGAAGCGAACAATGTCATCAGGGCTCGGCGCAACGCTAAAGAGGTTGGACAAGATGGAAACTAGCGAGTCTGGAAAGTCAGCGGCCATGAAGCGCAGAGTGTGACTTCCAAAATCTCCACCTTGGCCGACGTATTTCGTATAGCCCAGTTGCTGCATGAGATGATCGAAAGCCTGTCCCATACCTCGTAGCCCAAGGCCAGGGAATCGCGGGGCAGGCGAGAATCCAAAACCCGGCAGGTCAGGGGCCACAACATGGAATGCTGGCAGGCTTGGGTCCGGGGGGCTCGTCAGAAGATCGATTATGCCGGCAACCTCATAGAAACTACCCGGCCACCCGTGAAGAAAGAGGAGCGGAATGGCATCTTCTCGTTCGGACGTGTGATGGATGAAGTGGAGAGGAATCGGGTGTGTGTAGTTTTCACCGGCCCGAACAATCGTCGTAAACTGCTTAAACTTTTCGTTCATAGCTGCTTCAACTTTGCGCCAGTCATACTCATCGGACCAATGACGAGACAGGTTTTGCAGAACTCGAGAGGGAACGCCCTCGACGAACTCGTCTTGGTTGATATCTACGGCGACTCGAAGTTGGCTCGCCTTTTGCTTGGTTGCCTGAATAAATCCATCATCAACCTTTATCGAGAAAGGCCGAGGATGGTCAGAGAAGCTTGCTTCAAAATTGAGAGATTGCGTCAAGCTTGTGTCGTTTGCGTCGCCGGAGACAGCTTGAAGGCAGCCGAAAGAAACAAATGCTACCTGAAGGATGCGTTTGGCCATGATGAATAAAGCGATAGTTTGAAGTAAAACTCAAGATGTGAATGGAAATGAAACAGAGTTCTTAACAAATACCATGCCGAGGTATATATATGGTGTCTTCATATATTCGACCTCCACTCAATGAATCCCCCAAAGTCCGCAGCCTCATCTCCTGTTCAATGTCCGCTTTCATTTGTAAGTGATCTACTTCGGTTCTAAATTGTACCCGAGATAAAATCCTTCTATTGACTAATCGTGATGCTGCTTCGGAGTCCGCATTACGCTTCACATCCTTAGCAAGTGGGTTCGCACGCATCCTTCGGATTCCGGAGAGGGCTATCTACTTCCTAGACTCTGGATGTTAGCATGTACTAGTCGGGTCTCATCTCGTAATCTGAATGACCTTTGTTACTGATAGACCCAGCTCTGTTAACTTAATTCTCAATTAAGTGCGCAATGCCACCACGGATGAAGATGGTCGATAGCCGTAAGCGCTTTCAAGGCTGAAGCCTGCGCCGCCCTTGCACTCACGCCAGGTGGAGAGACAAGCCTGAGACGCCTTCATCTGTGATTCCATGATTATAGTAGGAGACATTCTAGAACACAAAGACGACTAAATCCGTCGTCTCCCAGCTATATTATTGAGAAAGATGATTGCCATGGATGGATAAGGGGAAGAAGTAGGTATCTGAATATTAGGAAAGTAGCGAGATGTGTGCGCCAGACTGGATACCTTCCTCAATAGATGCTCAAAAACATCCAACAGGATTCAAACTACAAAGAGAGTATCCAAAACATGCTGAAACCCATTCTAGCTATACAGTTGCTACTATTGCTGCTTCTTGGCATTCCGACCATCAACGCTCACCCAAGGACTGTCAAGGGGTTTCGTGTGACAATCTCCTCTCTTTGTTCAAATTTTTAGCCGCGTTGTGTTGGATTGCTGCTTCCTGTTGATGCCTTCCTAGACTATCATTGCCTTTCTTCTTCCAAAAGTTTGCCATACTTCGTGTTCCCGCAGTCTCTACTATATCTACTTATTTAATGCCTGGTTGTTCGTTACTGTCAGGTCACATGCCCTCTGTGGTCAGCGCTTAGCACCCCCACTCAAACTGGCCACACAGCTATTTGTTCATCGCTTCTTCCCGTCTTGTGTGAACATTCATTGCCGCTGGTTATTTTTCGCTTCTCACTTCTCAGTCTCATCCTTTCTCTCTATCGCACTCTTTCTTATGGCATCTACCAGCGCCATCTCACGGGTCCCGGCTGAAGTCATCGCCCACATCCTCTCTCATGTGGAAACGATCGAGGACCTGACCGTCGCTATTCGAAGCCATCGCGTCTTCCTCAACGCCTTCAACGACGGCCCCTACTCAATTATTAGCGCTATTGTTAAGAGCCAGATTCCAAGCGACGCCACTCCTCTTCTTGCCGCGTTGCTGGAGTCTTCCCGTATCGACCATGGAGCCGGCATAGAGAAATCCCGCGAGATTCTGGATCGCCTCGCAAGCGCTATCTCCGATCCCAATCAGACCACATCGCTCTTCGTCTCAAAACTTTCGCTCTCGGAGCTCGCATTTTGCAGTCGAATCTACGCTACTGCTGAGTCGCTTGCGCATAAAATGGCCGCTGAGGTGAAGCCCATCGCCATCCAGAAACTCGATTTTGGATACTCTACTTTACAGCACCTCACCTCAGCTGAGAAAGCTCGACTTGTCAGGGCATTTCTACGATTTCAGCTCCTGTGCGATCTTTTCTGTCCTCCCGATAGTGCCTGTCCTTTATCGAACGACGGTGACAGTAGGGAAAGGGCAATTGAAAATAAGCTGCGCTTCTTCTCTATGCATTCTCCCTGGGTGAATGAGCACCTGATGTGCGCTTTCACCTGGCTGCAGCGGATTCTTCGTCAAGGCGAGTATATTCCCTGAATAATAACCTTGCGCTCTCCCCAAGCCATGCTCTAACCCATATTTATGTCTAGCTTTTGACGAGCTTGCATGGCATGATGTGGATTGGGGCGAGTTGCCTGTCGATAACCGTATTGAACCGGATGACAACTTTTGGTTCCAGGGTTTTGTAAGCTGCATCGATATGCCTAAGCTCCCCCTCCCTAGCTCACTATAGTGTTTTCTTCTCTGCTACTACCTTCATTACCCATATCTAACTCTTGCACCTCGTCAGCTTTCTAGAGGACTCGGGTTCCTAAGCGACATTGCCCGTACTGACTCATATGCCTCATGGGCTCGTCTTTTGCGACTGGGTGGTGGTCTGGTCCGGGATTCCGAACGAAATCCCTCTCACCAATTCTATTACCGGTTTCCTGACCATCGTCTCGTTGAGGCCATTGGCCTACCGGACTTGGATACGCCGCTGCAAGACTGGACAGCGGGTCAACTGCGGTCTCTCTCTCAACGGGGAGACGGGTCGCGGGACTCGACGGCATCGAGCTCGTACTCTCTGTGGTTCGGGGCCAACGCTGGACGCTCCATTTTCGGGGAAAGCTCTCATGTGCAAGAGATGGATGATGATACGAATCTGTGGGAGTTGGGCTACAACGTCTGGGACTGGGAATTTCAAGATTCCGCTCCCTCGACGAGCGTTATCAGAAAGGCTTGCCATGAGGCGCGATCCATGCCTCCTCCTTTCAAGCCAGACATGCAGTTCGATGATGAGGTAATGTTACGATCTCAAAGGCAGCGCTCGGATATATATTTGGCAGGAGGATGCGGCTACTGGCCGATGGACGGTGCGATTGATTTTGGGGGCATACAAGGGTTGAGCCCGGACAAGATAGCAGATCTGCTGTACAAATGGGGCATTGATATGGATGTGTAAATTAATTCCACTCAGTCAATCTTCATGTTGCCTCGGAGTCCGCATTACGCAGGTTACGCAGAATTCCGCTTCACATCGTCAGCGAGATCCTTCGGATCCCGAGCATGGTTGTCTATGTTTTCTTGACTCCGGATGCTCTGCGTATGAAAAGTCTTATCATTACGGATTTGGTAAATTCTGGGAAAGGTTATGCTTTTGAAGTAGAAGAGTAGAAGCCCATACCCGCGTACTTATCCATATAAACTAAATATCATCATGAGATTGCTCAATAACATGCCAAAACTCGCCCGCCAACCTATCGACATCTACACCCCAGTGGAAATGCCAATTTCCAACAGCGCTATGATACTCGAAGTCGAATAAACAGACGGGTAATAGATCATCAAAAACCGCCGGATTTCGGGCTTGAGAAGCTTGTGCTCTTACGACATAGTCCAAATATCCTGGGTTCTGACGCTTTCGTGAAATGAGACGTTCTTTCTCCTCTCTTCCATAAGTAGCCATGTCCATACCACTCTCAGCCACCCTGTCAAGCCACAGACGTATACCTGATGATAGAAGGCTGAATAATTTCTGCTGATTTTGAAGTGTGCCGCCACCCTGACCGGCTCTTCGACAGCAACGGGCAGGGTATCCATCTATAAATAGGGAATGAATCACTGAAACAAGTGTTGATCCTTCCCATTCGAGCTGAGGCGCATACGAATACTGCTTTGTTGCACGGTCAAGTTGAACATGTTGATCATAATGGATCTCCTGATGTTGCACTAGTCGGACTATGGTACGGCATATTGCTTCCCACTTTCTCTTTTTTTGCCTGATCTCACGAGATGGAGGCAATTTCAAGACTGCCAGTCGGCGAGTGCGAGCGAATCGTACCATCCCAATAGCGGCAGAATGCAGAAGGGCCACCCTCAACCAGGACCGAGTTGAAGCTCCTATGCCCCTCAGCATGCTGAGGCATTCTTCACCTAAAAGGTACATGAAAACGTCTGGATCTGGATGCTTAATCGAGTGGCTGCTGAGAATATATGTCCTTGCCACCGCAATCAGGTTTATGAGCGGCTGCTGGAAGAAACGAGGAGCAACCAGTTGTTGGAAACGAGCTAGATAAGTAGGATCGGGTATTGCTGCGGTGCTGCAACCCATTAGAAAAATCCAATCAGACTGTCCATATACATTCTCGCTGCCGGATGCTTGGCGACACATAAATATGGTCTTCTCAATCGCATTCCAGTCGTGTTGCCCTTCTTTCCATAAATAATTTAAGAGAATAATGTGGCCTGGGTTCCTATTAAAAGTAAGCCAATAGAGCAACTTGACACAACATGAAAAGTACTTGCAACCCGGCAGAGGCTCTTTCGTCAACACAGTCGCTGAGACCCAGAGTAAGAAGCTTCTCACACAATGCGAGATTGAGAGAGCAGGCAGCATACTGCTGATGTCAATAAGAGGAACAAAATGGTTGGCGGGATCAATGCATTTGCACTTACGTGGAGCAGGGAACGACCATTCACATCGCGTACAAATGGAGATGCCCTTCTGTTCGTGAACAAAAGCAGCATCTCATCGATATTACCCAAGGCTACGGCTCGGAAGATGGCATCATCTTCAGCTAGGACGCAGTATACCCGAAGACTAAATGGGATGCTCGCCTTCCGCTTATGGATAATAACTTCCCAATTCTTTAAGAGAAAACGCCTTGGAGAGTTGTGGGGTTTTCTATAATGCTGATTTGTTATATTTGTGATGAGATCGGTATGCAGCTCCTCGGTGAAATCTGTGTTGTTGAAGGGCGATGGAGATTGAGCACGAAATTCATAGTTTGTATTTGACTCAAGCATTGCGCCTCTGTTAGTAGAAAAGTTGTTTCCATCATGAAATAATATGGATCGTTCTAGCTGGGCTTCATGAGCTGCACATGTATTCAAGCTAGAGCAAATTAGCTGGTATATCGCCGACGCGTTGCAGTGAGCGTGCCTTGGGTATGGGTTTAGGTTGACATACATCAGGCTCAACATATATATCATATCCTGGAGTTTCTGCTCGGTTTTTACTAGATTGGAGCTTGAGACAAGTTTTACCGATGACAGCTTTCGCCAGACCTTGGCCTGGTCACCGATCTGACGTATGGCCTGATCGATAAGTTCGGATGCAGATGCTAACTCTATTTCACATTGTTCAAAATAATCAGTGCGCCAGTGATCCGTTTGATTCTGTGAAGACATGCTCTTTAAAACCGCCTGGTGCTGTTTGGTCACCAGGATTGCTTCTCGAAGGCTATTGATGCGGTGTTGATCCATTCTGAGCCGAGTCGGAAGATCGTCAACCTCATTTCGCAAACGGTTTGTCTCAACCAAAGTTCTCCAGAAACCTGAAGCTACCGAAAGCATATCCATTGTGGCTTCTCGAAGGCTAGTCGTTGAGGAGGATGGATGGTATTACAGCGGAAAGGAACGAGGAGCGAAGAAAAGAGAAACGTGAGAGTAAGAGAAGGGCGACGCGGGCGCTTAAATCGATCCTCGGTTCGAACCATACTGGAAGTTGCAGTCTGCCTTATCCTCATGCACAGGTGCCCAAGCTGGGGAGAAAGTGAAAGCTTACTAGATACTGTGATATCATTTGCCCAAGCGATAGCCATACAGCTTGACGGCTTTGTCAAAGTGCACAATAAGGGATGGCACGTAATAGGCCCGCATGCTCATTTTTTGCTAAGCGGCTGTAGATTGGTGATCATTTGATTGGAGGGGGGCGTATGGCAGTGTAATTCTCACTTGGTCACTCTCAGCCTATCCAAACATGGGCCGTCAAATCAGGATGACTTGGTTTCGTTAATAAAGTGCCATCTACGTTTACTTAGTGTCTAACTTAGGGTCTGAACATGTCTGAACCACTGAAAGCCTTGAGGAAGTTTTTTCTTCTTGAAAATAAAGGTAATTAGGTCTACTTTATCCTTTGTCTCGAAGTGCAGGTGTAAGCAATATTGCCTGATGATAAGAGAAAGATACCCCAAGTATGTCGATGGGTGCTACTCTGCTCTCTAACAACTATCTTTCGGCTTTTATCTAAAGGCTGACGTGCGTGTTGATTCTAAAAACATCGACGACCAATCTGGGATTCTTAAGACCGTATTTCCTCGCTTACTCTCGCTTTCTTAACCAATCAGAATCGTCTCCCTGCAAAGTACTCGGTATGTTCCATTCTAGTAACAGTCGGAGCATTTCGTATGTTGGCATTTAGGGCAGGCTGCACCTGGCGAGGCGTTTAGCACTTGGCAAAGGCACTACTTAGATTAGCGATTGTAGTCAAGCTAACAGCAGAGACTGGTTCAAAACATACACAATACCATCCTATAGCCAACTAATTAAGTTAGCATTAGCATGCTCTCCCGGAATAGATAAAGAAGATGACCTTACGCTAAAGATCGGCATGCTCACTACCACCTCCAAGCATTTTCGCTCGACGAAGGTTTGCTTATGTTCGGGTCGGGAGCTAGTTTGAGGAGCTAGGCGGATAATGAAGCCACCCATTATGACCTTGCAGTGCAGTCTTTAATGGTGGGAATGTGGTGACACGTCGAGTTGATAGACGGGGAGAGCGTGATACTGATCCCGAAGATCAAGATCGGGCCTGGGGGAAGATCCAAAGGCGGGTATACCTGTTGCTAGGCAGAATCTAGGTCAACAGCTATTAAACTGAGATAGAATAGGATCTATTATTAATGGAGCAGGTCATGGAGGAAAGGAGGAAGATCTAATGGCGCCGATGGCCCCTGGATGGGAATATTCTTTGGGCAAGGAAAATTCATGTCAGATGCATCAGGCACTTGCGTCTGCATTCTCTTTTATACTTTGTTCCTCTCTCCCTGTACCTTGCGCAAAGTGTGAGCAGACTTGTGAGCGTACCACTTTGACCGTTAAGATCTAGCCGCGAGGCCGCGAGGCGCAAGCCCTGACTCCCCTCCACTTTTCATCCTCAAGAAATACGCGGGCAATGCCAAAAGCGCACGCCCAGATTTTCACTACATACACCCAAGCTGAACCCAGTTAGATTAAGTATCTTTTAGCCAGAAAATAGGTCACATCAGAACCAACAACGGCCTCTGTAATCTCTGCCACAGCTGTACCCAAGGAGGCAGCAGTATTGCGTAACCTAGCCTAGGTAGCTATTAAGAAGATGAAGCTGCTGCTGCTTTACTAATCCCGCTATCAATGTACTACCATGAACCCAGGTACTTCCCTCCTCTTGTGCTGATGATGATGGCTCTTCCAAAGGAGAGAGCAGGGATAGACTTCACTCAATAGAGTTTAGAATGGGTGTGCGCAGCGATGGGCGTGCGCTTTGGAGGCTCGTTTACAGCACAGCTTTGGCAAGCAAGCCACTTTATTGGTCCCAGGCACCATCCACGGCACAAGTACAGCACAGCCAAAGGAGATTATCAGGAGCTTTCTTTTCCTTATGATGCACGAGGGGCATCTCCACAACAAATGGGCTACCACGATAATCGGATTGTCTCAACGAAAAAGAAAGACAACAATGCAAAAGCCAAGCTCCCCACTCTTGGGGTATGAAGAGGATGGCTGACACAGTGTTAATATTTTAGACCTACTTAGGGCCATAGAACCATTGGTTGACCGGGCGAACCAGCCTCTCTAATTTTTTTTCTGAGACAATAACGGCAGAAATCTCGGTCTGCCTGTCTAATGGTGGGCGGCCTTGCGTCTTGATTCGAGCTTTTGCTCAGCTAGCCGAGGTAGGTACTTGAAGAGACAAGGACATTGTGCGAGCTTGTGGAGACACCGGCTCTGTAGGTGTGTGGTCAGGTGTAGACTGACACATCTCACATCTGCCTTTGCTCGTTTCATCCTTTGCCTGGCGATGGCACAGTTTTTAGCATCGAATGTGTAGCTGAAGGAACTTGAAGGTGCCACAAAACCCCTGACACCGACTGCAGTCCGCGTGCCTGAAGACAACCTGGGTATTCAGCTGCCGGCTCGATCGGCCTGATCGGATGAAACACAGATCGAGTTGGCAAAACTCTACTGATAGGGGAAATGCAGGTTAATCGGCCCAGTCGTCTGTGTCTATTTTCCTTCCGTACCTTTGCTTTTTCCCCTTTTGTTTGCATGTACCTGCAAGTCCCAATAGGTTCAAGTGTAGGAGGGGAGGTGTGACCAGTCGCACCCCGGATGGCCGTCGAAAAGAGCGAATTAAGGTCCAAATTACGGTCTGCTCAACCCAACCGGTGTCTAACTTTTCAGATACGACGCCAAGATCACAAAATAAGCGAGCCGGACTTTGACGGAGCTGCACTGTGCTGATCAATTCTCAGGGTGAGCCCGTCCGTCCCAACTTGTATGTACATGCTTGACAGGCACTTTCCCAATCTCCTGTGGCCCGTTCAATGCCGATCGATTGGGAGGCTGTTCCCGACAGTCAGTTGCTGGAAGCCGGGCCTGGCTGAGTTTTACCTTGGGGACCTTCTTCAAGGTAAACTAGATTAGCAAAGCCCCAATACGAGTGGGTGGGCTATTGTTAATTTCGCATCTTCAGGTTAGTTTCATCGAAATCGGCGTCGATGTGTCCGGACCTACTCCCCAAGATCCTGCCTAATGATTGGATGTTATCGAGTTGGCCCAGCAAAGAACTATCGACGGAGCTAGTCGAGATTAAGCTCAACAAAATCGTGTTGGGCAATTCTCGCCAACATGGTCCTACTCCTCATAGATTGCGGATGATGGGAGTGAAAAAGGAATTGATTTACTTGAATGGACCAGGTGGAAACTCCAAGGCGGTGCACGCACTTAGCAAGTAGGTAGCGAATTCAAGGGGCTGGGCCAAAGAAGCAGAGAGAAGAGGAAGTCAGAAACGCTCAACACGATGTTCACGACATAGATTTCGGACTAAAGCCACTGGAGAGGCCGAACTAGTTCAAGATATGTTCAGCAGAACACTGGGGCAGCGACAAAATGCCCCCTCGCCGCATGGCATACTATCTCATGTATTACGGCGCAACGAGGTGAAAGATTTTATGTTAGGGGGCAAGAGACCCCTACCGATCTCCAGCCTAGGTACTAATTTAGCCACCTGAACCTGGCATGTCCGAACTTATGTTTTTTCCTTGTTCGGTGATCTCTCTATACTTTCATCTCGATTGCGAGATGAGAGGCAGCCATTAAAAATGCGAGTGTCATAGCTCCTTAGAAATGAATTTAACGCAGTAGTCATCTCTTGCTTTCGATTTTGACCTCGTCGAATGAGTTAGAATAGTGGACCACATGATCGCAGAGGCCAGGCAAATGTCAGTGCTTCAGCAGCTATAAAGGCTTTGTCCTCTCGTGCCTCAATATCTTTGCTCAATTGAGTCGGACGATATAACAGCTACACAGCTGGAAATATCAGTATAATCGACTGCCTGGCTGTCTTCTCTGCTCCAATCTTCCGAGCAACAGTCAGCCGCGTGCTTGTCGTTCCTTGCCCATCGCCAAGACTTCAACACGCACGAAGTCACATCTAAGAAGCCTCTCTCAAAAGTATAAGCGCTCGACGGCTTTCGCTCGTTTACTAAGGGAGATTTGCGATTATATTCAGGAGCTCGCCATCGAAAATGAGATGCTCTACCCAAAGCCCAGCTTTCCAAAATCCTCGCGCATCCCATCTCATACTATCAATAAAAAAATAAAAATAAAACGACCAGATCGTAATTCTTGGGCTTATATACACATGCAGCTTATTCCCGCCAGATAGAACTGCAAAGACCCCTGATATATAACCCTACCGAACCCAAGTAGACGCATTAGATCTCAGCAAAAAACGATTCAGCGAATCTCTAACCAACCACCTAGTCCATCGAATAAAATGCAACTTATTTTTCACGGTGCCGCCCCCAGGAAGGTCTTCTTTGCGCGGGCGCGGAGAACATCGTGTTTCTTCAAATTAACGTCATAACGCGCAAACCTAAGAAGTTTGGCATCCTAAATAGACCCTGCCTGGTTTCGACATGAGACTGGATACCGCCAGAGTCGTAATGGTGCTGCCTAGCTTCCTGCTCTGGAGCCGTTGACCAAGTGTTATGAGACTGGGAGCCCTGACGACGACTTTTGGTTTATTGACCCACGACTTGTTCCGGCAGCATGGTGCCACGTGTCGACAATGGCCACATCCCAGAAGGTGTTTGGAGGGCGTCAACATCTATACATTGAAACAAAACATTATGGTGGGAACAGATGAGTGCAGCATTGTTGAATTTTGCTCCGATATCAGCTGGCGAGATGGGACTGGAAGAAGAAGAAGAAGACATCCATCTCGAACTTCAGAGGGCTCGTATCTCATCCGACAAAACCCAGCTCTGTCAGCAGTATTATCAACGTCTGTTACGGATTGAAAAGAACGGTTCTGCATCTCCTGAATTTCCCAAGAATCTCGATGTTTCGCAGCAATCCATAAACATATTAATGATACCGTCCTCGTTGAAGTAGAGATCTTGAAGGACCTTTCGTGGTCCAAATCCTCCCTTATATGCCAATTGGCCATGATCAACGCTATTCGGTCAAGAAACCATTTTCCTCGAGGTCAATCATGATTCCCATCTATTATTCATACCAAGATGCGCGGTCGCAAATTCTCGCAAATAGGTTCCCCTGCTGGCGTTACCTGCTGACCCATTCCTCAGTTCTTACTGTACTAGGTGTTACGTCTCACGCCCGGGGATTCAATTTCGTCGACCTCGACCAAAAGCTTAATGCTGTTCACCTTCCACGACCGCATCGATTTTTTCGATGTCCACCGCAGCTCAAATGTCCCGGTATTTGCCTAACCCACCAATCTCCATTATGATATGGGAGCTCGGGTCTTGGATACCGTTCTCCAGCTTGCTCCTCAAGCCGCTGCTGCTGCTCCACTTGCTGCTGTTCTTCAAGAGTCGACAGTGAGCTGCAATTTGGCATGATATACTTTAAGCCTCGTGCCGACCTAGTATTCTTTGTTTGACAATTGTGACCACAAAATAAATGCATCATAAGCCCCCCCCCGAGATGGCAAGGAAATTGGCCACGACAGAGAGAGGATCCATAGTAAAGATTGTGGGTTCTAGGGGCCTTGAGAGCGATACTCCAAATTCGTCATTGCAGACAAGTGGCTCAATGAGTAGTTAAATAAAATGAAACTACCCAACGTCACCTTTCTTTTGCTCAAAGTATGCTATGCAGTCCTTACTCAAGATCCGGTCGCGGCTATAAAAGCAAAAGATAGTAAGAGTAAGAGTAAATAATAAATAACTAGATAGATACCTGGATAGTTGATATATAGATAGATGGTTAGGTGGATGGATGACTGGGTGGATGGATGACTGGGTGGATGGATTGGGTGGATGGGTGGATGGATGGATGGATGACTGGATGGATGACTGGAAATATATAGCTGGGTAGGTAACTGGATAGTTAATAGATATTTGGATAGATAACTGGTTAATTAATAGCTGGATGGATAACTGGATGGTTGATGGATGGATGGATGGATGGATGATGGATGG